GGGCACCTCCTCTCTGGCTTCCTGTCCCTCGTTTGTGAACATAAACGCTGAATGAAATGATCTTATCTGTCCCAGCATTGTTTTACAGTTCTGCTGGTCTGTGGCTCAGTTTCCTCATCTATTAAATTGGGACAATAATCTTCATAGAATAATTGTGAAGATAAAATGATGTAAAAGTGTTTTGAACAGTGTTTGGGACAAAGTAAGCCCTTGATGTATTTTAGTTATCATCATCATCATCATCATCATCATTATCGACATTATCATAGGACAAGAACAGCCAAACAGATAGGGGCCTGAAGATGACTGACATGTTTTGCTTTGGAAATGTAACCTTTGAAGGAATGCAAATTACCGCTATCCAAAATGATACTGATTTTCTCCCCAAGTTCTAACTGCACATTCTTAATGAAAGAAAGAAGATAAAAATGCTAAGGCAGTTCCACAAAATTTCGAAGATAAAATGACCATGCGATTCAGCAATTCCACTTCTGGGTATCTACCCAAAAGAATGGAAAGCAGACTCAAACAGGTAATTGTACCCCCAACCATATAGCAGCATTATTCACAGTAGCCAAAGTAACCCAAATGTCTATCAACAGATAAATGAATAAATAAAATGTGGTATGTACATATAATGAAATATTATTTAGCCTTTGAGAAGAAAGAAATTCTGACACACGCTCCAACATGGATAAGGCTTGAAGACATTACACCAAGTGAAATAAACCAGACACAAAAGAACAAATACCGTACGATTCCAATTAAATAAGGTACTAGAGTAGTCAAATTTACAGAGACAGAAAGTAGCCCGGTGGTTGCCAGGGGTGGGGGCGGAGGGGAAATGAGGAGTTAGTGTGTAGTGGGTACGGAGTTTCAGTTTTGCAAGATGAAAGAGTTCTGTGGATGGTGGTGGTGACTGCAGCACGACAGCGTGAATGTACTAACGCCACTGAACTGTACACCCAGAAACGGGAAGTTTTAAGTTTTGTATATTTTACTACAATTAAAAAAAAATGCCAAGAGAATGAAAGTTCCCCTCAGATAGACCCCTCCACAAAGTCGGGGACCTACTTTTGTCCTGTTCCCTATGGATCCCTAGGAGGCAGATAATGCTTGCTGACTGGCTGAGGGGTAAATCTTATCTCATGACCAAAACACGGAGGCCTTTTGATGGCTAAATCCAGCACCCACAGGCACAGTTTGTTTGAATGAATGAATTTCTCATTAATTCTTTAAGTTAAATCTCTAGAAGAAAAATTTCTGAGTGAACGGACAAGAATACATTTAACTTTTGAGACAAACGATCAGTTGTTTTCCTGAAATGAAGTACAAATTTATACCCACCCCCCCAACAGACTCTGAGAAGGTCCAAGCCAGAACTGATGGCCATCCCTTAGCCACTCTCCATCCCTATGGGGTGCCTTTCCCAAGCACTGATTACTGGACCCCCAAGAGCAGTGCAGAGAGAAGAAGGCACTGCTAGGTCTTAATAAGGCTGTCATACATCTGCCCTGAGGACCTCCTGTGGGGACAGTGGTCTCCCTCTGTGACTGGAGAGGCAGAGAAATCTTCCAACACCCTTCAGAAAGAGCACATACTTGGACTCTTCACTTAAAAATGTGATTTCTGCAAAAGAACTCTCAATGTGCTTAAAATAACCTGAGCAAGAGTCCCCAACCAGTAAACGAAGATCTAAGTCCACCTTCAAACCCTGCCATTTTTTAAAATAAAATTTCTCCACGTTCTTTTTAAAAAGGGACTTTGAGTTAAATCACAAAACAAGAAAAGCAGAATCAATCAAATAGAATTTTCACGAAGTTAAAACAAGGGTAAGAGAAGGAAAAAATAGATCAATTCTGAGTCAATCTAGTAGAACTTATTTAGGTTTAAAAAGTGACTCAGAACATCCAGGAAACCAAGATGAGAGAAAAATACCACATGGCTGTTTTTACCTGGTTGGTAAAAACATACCAGTTTCTCAGAAAAAGCAGAGTTAATTCTTATACAAAAGGTGATAGAAATGTCTCACCAGCATCTTAATACAGTTCCTACCATTTGCTAAGTCCACAGTAACTGTTATTATTATTTACAAATAATAATTTGTTATTATTTGTAAAGTGTAGAAATGCCTCTTGTAACAACTTTTAGTAAATTTAGAGCATGATACTATGAGAACTAATAAAGGGAAATCTCACTAAAAAAAAGTCGGGAGATCAGAAGGGAGAGCTCTCATGCCCTACCACTCATCCTCCATTACCTCAAACAGGAAAAGGTGTACCCTTCATTTCCAACAAGATGTTCTACTTCTTTACTACCCTAGCAGGAGGAAGGAAGATTTTTCTCCTTGCCCGGCAACAGCACAGCCAATGAGAGACCGTCACAACCCAGGGGATGGGGCGGAGTGCACAATGAAAAGTCACAACGTTGAACTGCCAGTTTCCTCCAATGGACCCTTTGTAACGGCCCCTCTTAACTGCCCCCTTGCCTCTATAAAAGAACGTTCTTCTTCTTTGTTCTCTAGACTTGCCTATGGTTTGCCACAGCTTATGTGCCCCAAATTGCAATTCTTTGTTGTTCCAGGATAAACACACTTTTCCTGGTTAAAAAAAAAAAAAAAAAAAAGATTTATTTATTTATTTTTTTAGGCCAACAAATACAAAAACACAATCCTTTGAAGAACTATATTGTAATAGCAGACATACATAACTATTATGAAGAGTATGGCTTTATTTCTTTCCCACCAGACTTTTGATAACAAACTAGATGATGGAAAGATCAAAGCCACATCCATCTGGTCTCTGGGTTTCTTGCTGACTGCGGCCATGAAGTCCTTGCGAGGCCCGCAGGTAGATGAGACAGCATCCAGGAGCTGCACCTGGACGGAAATCACGCCATCTCCACACGGAAGCAGGTCCAAGCCAGTGCCACATGCCCCGTCGGTCAGTCTCTCGCAGTCTCACTCGTTTTGGAGGGACTTGAGGTTGCCACCATTCGCACCGGCCTTCTCACTCTAAACCCGGTCACGTGCCCATCTCCTGCTGCCCAGGAGGCCGGCACATTCAGACAACACAGTGGCATGAAAATACTAATCATAGTGATCATATTTGGTTTGCAACTCTGACCTCAGAACAAAGATGCCAAGGCTGGGGACACACAGGACGCAGGTAAGGTGTCTTTGCAGTAACTGTGAAGGACGGTTGCTGGCAGGCATTTTAGAAGGGCCCAGAGAGGGCACTTGCTTGCTTGGGCTGGGTTCAAGGCCTGAAGGTAGACATTTCGGGAGGGTCTCCGAGGCATCTGGGGGTCCTCTATACCGCCTCCTCTAGAGTCTCTCTTTTCTCTTTGCTCCTCCTCTCCTCCCCTCTCCCTTTTTTAGCTCTTTCTTAGGCTCTCTTTTCTTCTCTTATCTCCAGTTTCTCTGTCTTTAGCCCCTGCAGGTGTCACTGCATAGGATGCTGGTACTTAGAGCTGAGAAAGCCCTCAGCCCCAACAGGAGCAGAGGCCCTCTCTAACTATCTTCACATTTCTGAAGCACTTAGCCTTGTGCTTGGCCAGTGATGAGGATTCTTACTCAGTCCTTGACTAGAATAGAAAGGACAGCTATCCTGAGTTCAGTTGCTTTGTGTGGCACTGCATTTGTATGAAGGAATGACACAGGGGCACTTTGGGAACTTTTATCCCAAAGTACCCTAATACCCAGGGAAATGGACTTAAGGCCTGTGGGGTTAACCTGCAAGTCTGAAGCCTTTTGAAAGTTTAGCTTTAATTTATAAATTTATTCTAATTTCTGCATTTCATTTTACATCTATTCATTTTAATCAGATTTTTTACTCTTTAGTACTGCATCAAAAGAAAACTGCCTATAAATTTTCATCAAACACAGAGGACATGTTTGGGGTAGTCCAACTCAAAATTTAGGCTACGTAGAGTATGCGATATTCACTGCGGACCCCTTCCCATCCTGGAGAACCTCAAAGAGAGAGGCTATTACTCTCCCTCCCTTCTACCTCCTCAGCTGCCAGTGAACTGCTTCTCACATGGGCAACTCTTTGTCAAGTGATCCAGGGTAAGGAGCAAAGAAAAGCATGTATGAATGCATTTAATCATGGTCAAAGTTAACCTGAGCATTGCTGGGGAAATCAGTTTATATAAAAATAAGTTTATAAACAACTAGCTAAATTTCTAATTCCTCCACTCACCACCTTTGTCAATCTTCATTACAAATTATAATCCAGGAACATACTCCACATCTTTCCTGTAGTTTTGCAAACCCTGGCACTTATACATAAGGAATGCCTGGACTCCAGTTTAACAGATCTTTATATTGTCCCATTCTAGCATAGTCCTGGTTTATAGCTGGTACACAGAGATACCTAAATCTTTGTACTCAATAGCTCTGACCAGCTCTCTTGGTGCTCAGTGTCTTGTTGGGGAAGCAAACACATAAACAAATTACTAAGACCTGGTGTGACTACAAGTACAGATGCACTGTACCAACAGGGGTTGGAAAGGGAAGAAGAACTAAAAACAAAAATAAAAAAAGTAATAAAGAGTGTGGCATGATGGCCAAGAGTTGGCCCTGAGCCAGAAAGGCTGGAATCAAATCCTAGTTCTCTCTTCCAGTTTTCTAGCCAGGCACAAGTCACGCAGCCACTCTGAGCCTGGATTTCCTCTCCACAGTAGAGATGGTAACGATAGCACAGGCATTAGAATGTTTTTCAATATGAAGCATAGCACTTAAAGCCCAGTGCCTAGAATTCAATAAATGTGAGCCGTTGTTATTATAATGACTTCAAAGGAGTAATATAAATGAATTAAGCATGGACCTGGAAGTATGGCCTAACGCATTACAAAAGAGAATCAGCTAAGATTTCTTTGGGGAAAACGAAAAGGTGTAAAAAGCCAAATGCCGCTTGCCCTCACGTCTCTTGTGTTTCAAATACTGTCCACAAGATGGCAGCAGTAGCCTCAGGTTCTCACAGCCTAAAAGGCATTCCATTCAGCCTGCATTCCACGGAACCGCCCCAGACAGGCATCTCGGGGACATATTTTAAGTGGAAGGCAACCAGCACCGCATCTAAAGGATGCCCTTTCTTCTGGAATGCTATAGAAGTCTATGACTAGACAGACAAAGACACTCTGGCCTTGGGAAAAATTGGAAATCACCCATTCATTCGTTCATTTTTCGACAAATATGTACTGAGATCCTACTGCATCCCAGGCATCCCGCAAAGGAATAAAGCAAAGGAGGCCCTGCCCTCATGACCTCACAACCAGTCGCACACAGATCGAACACGGATAGATCATGGGATGGAATCTCCTAGCCAACTGAGAATCACAGGCCCGTGCACTGTGGTAATACAAGATTGAAGGTTAAGCAAAGAAAAAGGCAGACACGGTAGGAAATCCACACCGACTCCGCTTTGTATGCTGACAAGAGTGGGAGAGAATTCTAAGTGATAGAAGTTGGTAGAATTAAATTATGTTTGGGAGTTTTGCCCCTTGTGAAATCACTCAAGTTTTTACCCCCTCCCCCGCTTTAAGCTAGAAATCTGGGCTGGGCTAATGGAAGCTGTCACCTGGAATGTCTGGGGCAGCTGTGCAAGGTTACATTCCAGGCTCTAAGCGGGGGTAAAAAAAAAAAAAAAAAGCCAGCAATTTGCCTTTTGTCAACTGCAAATTAAAGTAATTTCCATGCAGAGGGTTTCTCCTGCTGGAGGTGAGCACCCAAAATGCCAGGGCTCCTGAAGCAAGCCTTTACCTGGCCGCCCCACCAAGGCAGACACACCTGAGGATAAAGGCGTCTCAGGGTTGCGATTAGGAGATTGTTTTCTTGGTTCTCCTTTGACCAAAGTGCCAAACCAAGTGGCATTATTAAGCGGGGCCTGGAGGTGAGAAACGGGGATGTCTTCAGTCCCTTAACACTCATAAAGCACCTTTTAGAATGTGGGACAAGAGAGACCCTCAGCTTTAAGTAAATAAAAAAGAAGGTAAATTTGTGTGTGCTGCAAACCCAGTGGTATGATGACAATAAAAAATAGCCACCATTACTGAGAGTGCCAGGCAGACACGATGCTAAGACATTCCAGCCACAGATCACCGAATCATCAAAGAAGGTAAACTAAGTATTATTGTCCTTACTTTATAGATGAGAAATTTGAGGCTTTGTGAAGTTAAGCCGTTTGGAGAAAATCTCAAGTATTAACTGATAAAGGTGGGATTCAAACCCTCATTTCTCAAACTCCTAAACCTGAATCCTTCGCCCCACACAGCCAACCAATTGCAGAAGTGGATAGAAAAACATTGCTACCAAAAATGAAGACGAGGTTATTCAGTCATTGATTCCGTAAGCACTTACAGAGCACTTTATGTGTGAGAAACTGGGCGTATACAAAGGTAAGTACTGGCAACTGCAAATTAATTTCCAAGCAGAGGACTTGCCACCATGATGGGTCTGAACTTGGAGACCTGAGATGTGAACAGACCTGGAATATTCCTCTCACCAAAGAGGTTTAGATCAAGAGCAAATGGGCAAGGAGTCTTAGCTTACAGACAACACGCTCGCTTGGCTGGTTAGAAGGTATCACATATACTTAGGAGGCAAGCTTTACGTCCCTGTGTGCTCTCATCTCCTAGGAAAGAGTTATGACCTGCACACACACCCTCAACACATACACAACCCTGGTCTGTCCCCAAAGCCAGCACCTGGCTGGGGACCTTGCAGATTCCAGAATCTCTCCTGTCCCACACTCCCACCCTCATGTGGCTTCGATCAGAGTCCTGCACTCCATCATCTTCCCTAATTTGTGGCTTCGCTGAGCCTCCTTTTCCTCATCTATTGGACCAGATGACCTGCAGTCTCTTCCAGTACAGATGTTTCTGACAGCTGCCATTTACTGAACACTGGCTGTGTGCCAGGTGCTGTTGTAGATTCTTCACAATCATTACCTTGTTTAATCTTCCCACACATTCTATGAGTGGGGTGGCACCCCCATTATGTAGATGAGTTTTAAAACTCAGAGATATTCCAGGTGACTTCTCCAAGGTCACCCAATTAGTAAGTTGAGAACCAGGATTAGAAGCCAGGTTAGTCTTGACCCTGAAAGCCCCAATATTTCTTACCGCCATACTGTCTTTAAAAGAAGAGGAAAAGGTTTACTCTTTGTCCTCCAGGTCATCACCTCTGCCTCAACTCTTCCCATCGAAAGCCCTCACGACCATCTATGTAGTGCTCACCTCATCTTTGTCACCATCCTCTTCTATCATCCTTGGCATTGTTCCTGGAAGACTTGGGTACCTGGCATACCCTTGTCTGTCATCATTTATTCAATATTCATGGAGAGGTCTGCTGACTCCATGACCTTTGCTCTTCTAAGATCTTGTGACTTTCAATCTTGGCCCAGCTCCAGGCACCCCCACCCTCAGCCCCGACATCACTTAAACCTGTGGAAATACTCTGTCTCCCAGATCTTGGACCCCAAAACCCCATCTCCAACCTCTACCCCATTATCACCCTCACCCAGCCCCTCTGGTTCTTGGCCTAACTCGACTTTCTCCATAGACAGTACCATGCGGTCCACTTTTCCTCCACCTGAGTCCTCTCAGCTATCCTCTTGTGTCCCCAAAAGCACCTCTGAATCAACTCCCTCCTTTCTAACTTCAAATTTCACAATAACTTTACACAATCTCTCCTTCATTTTGTCTTTCTTTCCAGAAACAGTCAACTGTCCTCTCCCCAATCCCCGCTACCACATGGCTACCTCCTTTCTAAGCTGCGTGTCTCTCTCTCTGGGCCACCTCCTCCAGAAAGAACCTGCCTTTCGCAAATATTCCCTCCTCTTCTGGCATCTTCAAACTCTCCCTCTCTTCGAGCTTCTCCCCTGGCTTGGGAGACTTCCTGAACTGGACCAATAGTGATGTTTCTCCCCTTGCTGTTTTTGGAGACTCCCTCTTGACTCCCTGGTCTCATGATGTCTGCCCTCCCATTTCACTCCATCGAAAGGCCACTCTCTGGTCCCCAACCACTCTAGATTCTAGATTTAGAATTGTCCTCAGTTCTTATCCCCTTTGACCTATACAGATAGACTCTGCTGACACCAGATTATTATGACTCCCTTGCCCTTAATCTCTTCTTTACATTGCATCTCAGCTCTAAGTCTCCTGACTTCTCTGAGCCTCAGTTTCTCCATCTATTAAAGGAGAAAAATAAATGCCAACATCGTAGGGTTGTGGGTATTGAATGAAATATCACATGCCTGACATATTGACGGTGCCCCTAGTAGTTGTTCCTATCACTGTTGCTTTTCTCTTAATGTTGAGAGAATTTCCCTTGACTTACAATCTTTAACTCACCCTACAACAGCAAACACTATAAGTAAGCCTCTTAAGGGTAGTGGTTCTTATGGCCTTAAGAAAACCCAGGAGTTTGCGTTGCACACGGTAGGTAGAGGTAGCTCACTGCTGGCGATGATGACGGCTTCATAACCTCCAGCTATTTCCCCAGTCTTTTAATTTTAATAAACCTCAAATGCTTTTTCCACCACGGACTTGGCTGTTTAACGGTTTCAATCCTTTGAAAAGGAAAATGACTCCCTTATTTTTCACTTACTTGCTGCATGTTAAGAGCTCTTTGATGTTCCAAAGGCCTTTCAAGAAAGGCTCCTTAGAAATAGGAGCTTGGCTTTTGCCACAGGGAAGTGAACTTGAACCCCAAAGGTTGAGTTGGGACCCTGGAGTCCCAGGCATGCGTTTTCCTCGCAGGCTCCAGGCCTGACCCCAGCCTGGAGCTTGGAGAAAATGCTATTTGCAAACTCTTCATCCTTCTCAAAGCTGTCATTTTCGTCAGCCCCACTGGGCATTTTGACAAATGCCTTTGCTAATTACTTAATTATTTTGGCCTGCACAAGTGTGGGGGCTGTTTCCTTAAAGAAAAGAGGGCTTAGCCAGTCCCTTCTTATCAATGCGAGGCCTGAAAGTAGCCTGCCTCAATCCTGTTTCAATCTTATTAAAGTGTTTGGCTAACTTAGCACCCCCACCAGTCAAATTAACTCAAATACATTATTATGCAAGGACACAAGCACAAAGCCCTCCTTCCCCAAAGCCAAGCTAAAGCTAGCATTTGTTTTTTTATGCCATTGGCTTATTTCTTCTAGTTCAAGCCTCTTTTGCATGGGAAAGAAACCTGCGCTTATCTGCTGACTTTCAATTAAAGAAACAATTAGGCTAGCTGATAAGTGCGAGAAATGCCTCAATGCATCCCTCCTGGAATTAGCAAGGAGTGTGAGTCTGTCACCCCGTGGTCAACACAGTGGGGTGCGCGGGCAGCAGGAAAGTGTGGAAGAGATTCCACCGAGAGGGAGGTTGAACTGGCTTTCCCAGGCTGGCCAGCCCTGACATTCTTAGTTTTAAAATCAGAGTCTCTCTAAGAAGGGCTCTCTCTCTCTCTGAGCATCTTCTCCATCTAGTACTACCAAATAATGCTGAGCATCTCGCCACATGCCCTGGCTGTGTCTTCGTGGCACCCTGGAGAAAAGGCCCTTGACTAGTTCATCTGCTCAGCGTACACTGAGGCCAAAATAAACTCAGAATCAATTCTGAAACACAAATTGCACTTAAAGGCATGAATTATCCAAAGTGGTTATCCGCCCTGCTCAGATAAACAGCCAATGGCCCCATCCAGAGGCTGGCACGGGGCCTGGCACGTGGTAGATGCCCAGTAAAGGTGGCTGGGTGTGGATAAAGCTACTGCCCATCCCGCCGGGATATCCCGCCTGCAGGGGTGTAGTTGACTCTCGGTGAATCACTGGAGGGGGCAGAGGACACGCAGAGGCTTCAATTAGGGTTGACCCATGTATTCGTTTGCACAGCTGGGACCAGAGAAACTGAGCTGACCCCAGGTCTTTCTCATGAAAATGCAATGAGGGCAAAGCCGCCCTTGAAAATATCAGTATCTTGCATATAGTTAAGGACTATTTCATAGTATCCCCAGCTAGCTTTAAGTGAAGAGGCCTAGAGAGGGTGTATAATCTGCCTAAAGTCACACAGCCAGTTGAAAATATGAGGGGTACCTATTTCATTTGTTATAGCAGCTGAAAAGATAAAATCCATAGGGATAAATTTAATGAAGCGCCTATAGCATCCATAAGAAGAAAACTTTAAAGCCCTAATGAGCTTCATAAAGAAATCTGGAATAAATGAAAACACATGATTTTTTTTTTTTTTGGATGTTAGTCTCTCTAAATTAATGTAAATGCTCAATTGACTTCCAATTAAAATACCGAGAGGATTGCGGATGGTGATATAATGTTATTAAAATTTATCTGAAAAAATAAACATGTGAAAATAGCTAGAAAAAGTCCAAAGAATAACAAGTAGCATTACTCATACTTGTTATTAAAATACATCATGAAACCACAATAATTAAAACAGTTTAAAGAGGAGAAAAAAATAGACAGTACCAGAATATGAGGGGACTGTAAATAGAGTAAAATACGCGTAGAAATTTAGTTTATAATAAAAGTGGCATTTCAATTTAGTGAGGAAAGAGATCATTCAGGAAATGATCTGGGGACTGTCGCTAATTAGATAGGGGAAGAATCATGAAGTTAGAGCCCTACCTCAATCTTTAACACCAAAATAAATTTTAGTTGGATCAAAGATTTAAATTTTAAAAAGGAAACCATAAAACATCTCAAAGGAAACATGTAAAATGTATAATCTGAGTGGAGAAGTTTTTTCTAAGCAAACCAAGAAACTCTAAAGCCAAAAGAAACAATTGACACATTTGAATGCCTAAAAATGTACAATTTGTGTATGGCAAAAATAAATGCTGTGAACAAAATAAGATAAGAAGAGAAATCATTTTCAGTCAATGACGGATAAAAGGTTAGTTTCCTGTTTTACAAAGCTCACACCCCAATCGGCAAGATCAGCAAGTATAACTCAGTAGCGTAGGCAAAGGAGGGGAACAGACAGTTCACAGAACAAGAGACCCAGAACAATTTGGCAGAACTTACAATGGCACTTCTCCAGCTCATTGAACAATCTTTCTTATGACTCGTCTTCATCAGAAAACCCACCAGTGGAATCTTAAGTCGTGTATTTGCTTAAGGTTGTTATTGCTCCCTGAACTAGCTCTTCAAGTGGGAAGAGTCTGAGCTAGGATAGCACAGGGACCACTAACCCTGCCTGCCAGTTCCCCAAAACAGTGCTAACCCTTCTGCAGGTAACTGAGGTTCCACGCTTTGGTGGGGAGGGAGGAGGCCACTGGTGAGGGGCCGCGCTGCCCTCCTGCACATGAGGAAAGGGACAAAGCCCACCGCATTTGGAGTCACCAAACATCCCTTTGGGCCGCCTCCTGCTAATGTCTTCCTCACTGCTCTTGTGTCCCGTATTATGATGTATATAATATCCCATTGTATTATGTATCCCGTAATAACCACAGACGAGGAACCAACTGTGAACATGCACCATGGTTTAAGCGTCCTGTAGCTCTAACTACCTAGAAAGCAGAGAACCCAGAGTACAGGTGAGAGATGCCTCTAAAACAGTTGTCATTCTTTACTCCTGCAGGACTGACTCTCCCTCGGCCTTTGTCAGTTCTGGCTTTACACACAGTCACATCAAGACTGGTCAACTGCTGATTTCTCCAAGTGCAGCATATTAAAAACTGCAGATTAGGAGGTATGTCAGAGTAAACTGACTGATGGCAGAAAGGCCGGTCAAAGGCACCAAAAGCAGAGGGCACCACTGAGGTGATGCCCAAGAGCCAGATAGAAAGGTCAGACGAGGCTATCCACACTATGTTTAAGGGGGTAAGGCTGTGTGTCGCCCATTTGAGAAACCAAAATGATGCTTTACCCTAGAAAGAATCAGCTTCAACGAATGCCTTATTAAATGGCATTTGGAGAGAACCAAAAACTTGAACTATTATTAGATCATTTTTATTCTGTGATCTCTCAGTCTAGAGTATTGTTAGGGATAGAATAATATACTGAAGTTGAGGAACATTTCTTTAACAGTACTTGAAAAATATGAATCCACACATGGGAGGAAATGGAAGTATAGTTATAAGAATAAATATTGAATTTTAATACATGAGGTATTGGTGAGGCTCAGTCAGTAATTCCCATATTTATTGATTTTTGTTTGATTTAAGCATAAACCATGCCGCTTGGAGCCACGCACAGGGGACAGCATAGAAGCAAATACAACGTACGGCGCTGATCAGCACATAAACACGTCGACTGTTACACTACCATGGTCGGCATGAGCAGGAAACGCAAAAGACCAAGCTTCTATGACTTGGTCTGTTTTCCTGTAAGAAATAATTTAAGTCTCAGTTTCCTCATCTCGACATCGGGAATAATAATACTTGCCCACAAGGCTTCGTTGCAGGCCTTAAATAAGGTAAGTCAGGGGTCTGAATAGCACCTGAGATGTAGCAGATAGATAATAAATAGAAGCTGTTGTTGTTATTGTTGTATTTTCACCATATCTCAGCTTCCAAAATCAGAATCTGAGAATCAGTCACTTTTTTCTTATAATATTAAATCCTCATTCTCTCTCTGTCTCTCTCTCCCTCACTCTCTTTTATTTACCCCTTACACAACTTAAAATTCTTCACTGATTTTTAACTCCTACGATAATAGTAACGGCTAATACTTATATAATGCTCTTTGTGTGCTGGGCACTGGTCTAATGACTTTACATGAATTAACTCACAACAGCCCAATGAGGTAAATATTTTTATTGTCTCCCCTTTTACAGATGAGATTGAGCACAAGGAAATTAATGATATTAAAAGGTCTCACAGCAAGTAGTAGGCCTGAAAAGTACCGCTTTGCGAAAAAAGCAGGACGAACGCGTGTGTTCTGTAGACTGCCATTAAACGTAAATGTGCACAGAGACGTACAGATCTACCGATGTAAAGAGAGTGAGAGGGACTTGGAAGCTAAGGGTAAGAGGGACACTTGCTTTTCACTTCTGAACCTTTGGGATTTTTTGGTGAATGTTCTACCCATTCAAAAATTTAATCGATAATCAAAAAGTTCTCCCAACTCATGCTGGTCACTCATCTCTGGAGTGCCCAGCCCCTTTTAGCAAGTTCAGACCTATTTCTGGGCTTCCAATCCCCATTGCACATGTTAGCTGACCTGAGGGCAGGGCACCTGGCTGGGCCGCGCCTGCTTTACGGGGGACACCCCAGGGCCCAGACAGGCTACAGAGCTCAGACCGGGCTACAAGGGCTCATTTCCAGAAACCTCGTGGAGAGTCGGGGAGGAAACCAACGGTTCTGGGTGACACTCCCCGCCACTCAGGTTTTTCATCGGCACCAGGCCTGGAGGTAGAACGTTTGGGAGGCCCTGAACAAAGAGGACCCCCTCCTCTCTCTGCCTAATTTCCATTGCCTGCCATTCCTTTCAGAGGAGATAAAGGCTTGCATTCCACAATTAGCGACAGAAGGTTGAAAATGCAAATTCATGGAGGAGTTCACAATCTTTGGTGAAAGAGTTTTCACTTAGGTGTTAATTATTTCTACCTACTTCCTGAGCTGGGCTGGGCCGAGAGGAAGAAAGCCTGGGTGGAGCAGAGGGCCAACTGTGGAGGTGGGGGTACCACCCTAATTCCCAATTCCCCACTCCTCCTATGGGACAGGACAAGCCAGAGGTGCCCTCCACCCCCACTCCAAGGGGTTTCTGCGGCCCATTCCCTTGTCACCGGCTCCATCAGAAAAAGAAAGCTGGGTAGAGAGCCTCAGAGGAGCCAGAAAAAAACCACTGGCAGGTATCCTGCTTCACAAAGCCTGACCACAGCTGGAGGGGATGTAGACCCTTGTCCCTGGAGAGAAGACCCACGGAACCCAAGACAGGTTTCATCTGAAGAGTCATCTGGGCAGGAAGGGAAAAGGCATGAGTGAGTTGAAGGGTCCTGTTCTCTGTTGCCCAGAGAGCAGGACAAGCGAGTGGAAGCCACCAGGAGCGAAAATGCACTGCTGCGTAAATGATCGGTTCAGCCAACCTGCATCCACTCCCGCCTCCTGGTCTTTGCTCAAAACATTCCCTTGCTTAAAGCACCTTTTCCTTCCTCCCCGTCTAGGCCTTGCTTCAAAGCTCATCTCCAAGCCTTTTCCTGGCAGGCTCACCTCCCTCTTACTGAGACCAGCCCTCGTTTCCTTATATATTGATTTTTGCCAACCATTCATTAGATGGACCACATTTCTTCTCTTGGAAAGCTGAGCCAAGGGAGGCTGCTTTGGTGAATTTCATTTCTATAATCTCACTCAGGGTTAGGAGGTCACCTGTGTGATCTGTGTCTGCCACTCGTTCTCTTTATAAGGCTTAGTTCCCTCTTCTGTAAGTGAAGGAATTGCCCTGCAATAATTCTGTGATTTCTTCTTTGTGCCAAGTTTTATGATTCTGGGCTTTGATGTATATTTCCATTCATTTCATATGACTTTGCGTTTTGATAAACGGTCTCACCTCCTGAGAAGATTTCATGAACCTGGACTCCTGACTTCAATTTTAAGATCATGCAATTAGAGAACACAAGTGGCCTTCATTTAATTAGAGCTGATTCTCAAGAATAATGCCTGACTTTGCTAATGATTCTTTCTTGTTCTGTATCATAGTTGGAATTTATGATGTACAGACAGTGCTCCACTTCTAAAGGACTTGAAAAGAGCTGGTGATTAATGGCTCCCTCTTTCATCCTTCTATTTTTCCCAAAGATGTTCTGGCTTCAGCTGCCTAAGGATCCGGCCCTGATGCCGATGGACTATTGTCAAAGAAGTCAACACTTTTGAGATCTCTGAAGTTCTGAGAAGTCTAGTTCCCAGAGCTCTTCTATATTTCCCTTCCCTCACCACCCACAACTCTCCTTAAACCAAGCGTAACGTTCCTTTCCCTGGAAGGCCCTGCCCCTCATGTTCTCCCAGCTAGAGTAGTCCCCAAACTTGCCTACAAAACTGTGATATATTTAATTTCAGTTCTTCTATGCTCTATTTCTGGAAGTTTCATTTCATTCTTTTTCATATCTGCTAGATTTTTTTCAGTATGTCATTCCTTGCAAATATGTTCAAGTTCATAATTTATATAATAAATTATATATATATAATAATTTTACTATTGAAAGGTGCAGGTTTGTTTCTGTTATCTGTTGTTTCTCTTGATTTGTACTCCTATTGCATTCCTTGTGCTAACCACAATCTTAAGGGATAAAAATGCTTTAAATGACAAACAGAAACAAAATTCCCCAATCATTCTTAAACCCAGTAATTCACAATCATCTGGATGTGAGGAAAAGGGATAAGTGTTGAAAATGTATGTGGAAGCTCAGGATCATCTGTCAAGGTCTGTTGGGGTTCAGTTTACTGAACTTTTGATTTCATCGCTTTGTAGAGCTGACTTCCTGTGACCTTTATTCCTCATTCTTAGCTATAACTCACACACTGCCCTCGGGCTTACATGATAATCGTTTGTGTTGTTTGCAAATGTTGTCACATCCATTACTACTGTGAGTCTCCCTTCAGTCCTTTGAGAAAGGCAGAATTAGATGTTTTTATCCCCATTTTCCAGACAAGGTAACAGTTTAGGGGTCAAATGTCCTGCCCAAAGTCAGAGGGCAAAGAATAGGAGGGAGATAACAGAAGCTGGTGCCCATGTAGCATTTCTTTATTGGTGGATGGTGAATCCACCGGTGCCCACTATTACAGGCAACTGACTTCCCAAACTACTGTATTTCTTGCCAAGAGACATTTCCTTCCAGCAACTGGGCTTAAAAACATAACATTATAGGAATGAACCATCCCTTCCCTGGTCGCTTCAACTGGCTAGCACATGACAGCTCCTCTAGCTGGGCCCTCAACTCCCTTTTAGTGGGGCCAGGGTCCCCAAACCCAGGCAACCCAGAAGTGCCTATGATTCCTCCTGTGTCCCCTGAGTGAGAGGAGGAGCAATCATCCAGGAAAGATGGAAGGAAGGAGGAGGGACAGACCTCATTAACAGGAGCTGGGGAACTAGGCCTGTTGGGCTCTGACCTATTGGGTCTGAAAGCCCCTAGAGAAATGTTGCACCTACTTGCAGAAATCTTTACAGCAGGAAGAGGGAGAGACAGACCACTGAGTCCTAGAAAATGCCTGCAATAGTCTGAAAGTAGACATTTTTGAATGGCTGGAACTCTCCCCTAGGGTGTGAGAGGGAGAGAACAGTAAACACCATTTTCAAAGCTTGCCTGGCCTCTCTGTCAAGCTGATGACTGCTGGAATGTGAAGACTGAGAGAGAAAATGAGCCGAACATTTTCTTCAGTGAAGAAATCTGGTAGGGATATAAGAGCGAGAACCCTTATGTCTCTGAGAGGACCCGTGGACCCCACGAAAGGGTGTGTGACATCAAAGTCAGATGACCTGGTTCACATGCCAGGGACTGGCTGGGTGGTCTTGGGCAAATTATTTATGTTCTTGAATTTCAGTGCCTTCATCAACAAAATAGGGATACTAACAATGCCCATGTTATAGGACGGTTTAAAGATGAAATGACCTAAGCCTATTAAGTGCATGGCACTCAGCTATTACTGCTACCTTCATTTTACAAATGAAATCACTGAGGTCCAGAGAGTTGATTTGCCCGAGGTCGTCCAGGAAGGATGGTCCTTACAGTTAAGCACTTATTTGGACTTTTCTTTCTTTTTTTTTTAATTTCTCAAGGATTCATTTTCCTCACATATAAAATGAGAATAATACATATTCTCAATACCTTATCTAAAACCCTTGGAGCCAGGGAGTCAAACCTTAAAACGTCTGGTGTGAATGAATACCAGTCTCCAGTGGGGTCTGGAGCCATACCCAGTAATCAAACACAATAGTATTTCTGCAGCAAAATTTGAGGGTATTTACACTAAGTGGGGGACATAAAGACTATATATAGCTTCATATTGTTTGAGATTAGACTTTGATAGCCTGCTAACCTTAGGTTCTGTTAAGAAGAATTTTGGTTTTTAGAGCTCTGAAATTTCATATTGTGCACTTGTGATACCTACTTCAAATAGTTTGGAAAATTCTATAAGATGACCCATATCAAGTGGCTGGCATCGATAGGTGCTCCGTATTAAAGTTAAATATTAATATCAGCTAGTCCAGTGCTCAACTATAGTGCTACAAGCTGCTAAGTCATGGAGAACATCCAGGCAGGATATGACAATCTCAGAGACCCTCAGAAAGATGTCCTACCCTAGCACTCAGCCTAAGAATAGCATGCCCTTTCTGCAAGGCTGTGGAAGAGAAGAGAAGGGAGCATTGCTCCAGGACAACCTCCCATACCATCAGGCTGAACCATGAGCCTCTGATAGGCTTCCCTAAAGTATTATTGGGATTCTAGTCACTGGGGACCTTGGTCCTGGGGCCTCTGGAAATTGTGCTGCAGGTTATTTTGATTGGGGGAATAAGGGAATGATGCTCTAAACTAAAGATTGAAGCCTCAAGGGCCAGCCAGGTAATATAAGGGAACAAAGGGTCCTAGGTGTGCCTCTGGCAAGTGGGACAATACCTGCCCATCCCAAAAGAAAGATGCCACCCACTTAGAGCCATTGGGTTGGTTGGTTGCCACATGCGAAAATAAGCCTTGTTCTGCCTGCCTAACTTTTTGATCTTTCAAGAGAAGTCAAAATGTAAAATGTGGAAAATATCCTTACTTTTACCCATTGGCCACTAATATTTTTAAACACTGTACAAACCCAATAAAATGTAGCTGTGGACCTCTGATCTAAATAATCATAATGAGTCTGATCTAAATAATCATAAAGAGTCTGGACCTCTGATCTAAATAATCATAATGAGTCTGACTTAATTGAGAGCTTACTATGTGTTAGGCAGTGCCCCACAAGTACTATATGCCTTATATTTAATACTACAGCAACCCTATAAAGAAAAAACTATTAGTGACATTTAACAGA